CATCACGTCAAATAAGCAGCTGAATAGGTCGGACACGGACTGCCAACTCCAACTCCAACTTCCACGGACTTCCTCTCGCCTACATAATTTAACTCACTTCCTGAGTTGATGGGTCCAAAAAAGTCCAAACTTTGTGGTTAGCGCTACAACGGTTTTCCCAAAAAGTTCGAAGTCCAGGAACTCGGGAAGTGAGAGTACGAAATAAGGATCGCGCGTTTGGCTTCGCTCCCAGTTGATCTGCAAATCTACAATTCGCAGCTTACCTCCAATTCGTAGTTTGGATCCCAGTGGTTGGTGCGCAGGAAAAAACATGCTAAGATTCATATTTAGTCAGCCCCAACATGAGTTTCAAAAAGGGGTATGGAACCCCGAAAAATTTCCCAAACCATGTGGTGTTCCTTTTGGCGTCCTTTACAGCAGCCCTAAAAAAAGGTACCCCCTCAACAAGAGATTGGCATTTGGGAGAAAGGGCATGCTGCCTTGTTTTAAAGGGAAACATGTCCCTCCAAAAAAGGGCCACGGGCGTTTAATAATTTTGGAGGTGACACCAGAGCTAAGTATGTAGCGTTCATCAGCAGTCCCAGGCACGCGTAAACCACGGCAACTGGGAGACCTCCAATTGACCTGCATCCCACCATCTTATCGTTTGCCCCTTCCACCTCTTAAAAATGACTTTGGTAAAAAAATAGGTCTCGAAAAAAATGTAAACTACCCAACAACTGTGGATTCCGTTTGGGCAAATAACAAACATGGGCTAGTTGGGACATGTTACGATTCTAGTCCACATGGGAGTTTTGCTTTAAAATTAGTGGGCCCCAACATGGTCGTTTCGCTTCTACCAACCGAAAACAAGAACCGAACGCGGGCACCCTCGGAAATAACATCCACCCAAATCTAGCGAACCCCAACCATGTGACATCACAAGATGTTTCAATAAGGTCACGAAAGGATACCCCCCCCCGTCTTCAACTGGCACCAACTTCTGGAGATCCAAACTGCTTGCGAGCCCCTGAAGCGCTGATTCTGGTTTCAACTCACTTTCAGGAACTGGACCGTGGATTTTTGATCGAAGGATCCACGACGAAACCTCGAGAGTCTGAATTAAGAGACGAGCCGGTCGGTGGCCATGGGAAGACCCTGACTTACGGACATGTTCCATATTGTTCCATAGATTATAAAAATGCAGCATGTGTCTTTTGATTGAAACGTCTAACATCATCATGGATTTTGGGGGTTTCATGTGATTGGTTTGCTTGCAATGAGGGCATCCATTTGGTCGCCCCGACGGCCCCCTCGGCTAAGCATCCGGCCAAAGATAGCCATCCGTTGGTCTCCTCACCAGGTCCCCATCCTGCATGTGGAAAGCGTGCTGGACCCCCTCAGCTGGCTATTGAATACACATCTGGTCAACCCCAACATACAAAACAAGTTTGGAGGCGAAGCTTCCGCCTTTTCGGACACACCTGCGACATCTTCAAGCACTTGCCCGACCAGGAGATAAACTAATGGGAGGTTGGAAGACGTGGGTCCTTGATTGAACCGAGGACAGGCTCAAGCACTAAGCATTTCGTCAAGCAGTAACAAGACGTCAATCGTCTCAGAGAAGCGTTGTATGCCAGAGATATGTGTACACATAAGTGACTCAATAAAGACATAAACACGCAAGTGGGAAAGTGACACCCACTTAGTTCAATGGATAACTTGAAACAGTATATATATATATATATTTAATTGTTGCTAACGCTAGTGCCCGTGAGGCCCAGATTTCAACCTTCACTGTCTTCGACCTACACGTCCAGTTGGTCAGAAAGCACAGGGATTCACCTTCCATGGACCAAACAAGTGCGTCCACTCTCCGACAACATTCACATGTTAACCAACCTGCTGCTGGCCACTTGAAGCCATGGCGGTAATACGCATTGGCACAACCCTCATGTGGCAGTTGATCAATATTCTTGGTTCCGGAAAATGCCATCTTCGCGCGAAAAACCTTTCTTTCGCAAACCTTCCGCGACTCCATCGCCACGCCCTTTGGCTTGCAGCGTGCGCTGTGGAGCCATTGTGGCTGCTGCAGCTATGCCTGCAAGCACGGACAGGCTTGCGTTACATAAAAAGCAGTCACCATCATTCGCCCTTGCCACTTGCGCTTGCCCGGGATGCGCAGAATCTTGCAACAAGCTCCAGAGCTTTCGTCCGTCTTTCGCGAATCTTTCGCGACACTTGCTCCGAAATAGCCTAGCCAACGTTTTGGTTTGCACCATTCCCAACACAGGCAGAGAATCAACAATGCAAGTGCAGGCGCTGCACATCTCCCTGTCTACCAGACAGTGGTGCGTGCAAATATGTAAGTGCACAAGCATGCCTCCAAGAACCCAACGCTGATTCTTTCGCGAAAAGAACAGTTGCTTTCGCGAACTCCATTGCCGATCTTTCGCGGAGGCGTTTAAACCAACACCAATGGTCACCAAGTACATAACTTCTTGCGAGGACCTTTTTGATGTACCATGGTCAACACTCTTGATGTGTGGTCTCTGTCGATTTTTAGTCGAAGGATGGGCACTTTGGCACAGCGGTGTCAAACGACATCAAGATGAAAACTGCTTCAAGAAGAAAGATGCCCAATGAGCATCCAGCAAGGTCAGTTAAATATGTGGCCATGGTCATGGTTCCCTTGGGTCCCTTACAAGAAATCCAAATTGCAATGGGCCCAATCTGTTGAATGACAAATAGATAGGTTTGCCTTATTTGTCACTTAAATATCTGTCCCTCGCGTATCGGATCCAGCCCCTGGCTCGTTTAACCACCCCGCTTCGTCGAAAACCAAAACCCGAGCTGCCACGCATCGCAGGCGAGCGTGAGGTCCACGGCTCGGAAGATGTCGGAGCCCAACTGAAGGCCGGGACTCTCATAGCCCCAAATCCAAAGGCTTAGGGCTCAGTTGGCCGTGGGTCAAAAATCGTTGGTAACCCCAAAATGGGTTGCCCTGCAAAATGCACAGGACCAACACCTGTCTCCTGGTGGTTTGATTTTGATCCATAGCCAGTCGAGGACTTGGCCTCCGTATGGGCTAGGGCTCAGTTGAGGGCCGAGCCTCTAGAAAACGGTTTGGACTGGCGAATCTGTAAATCCACCGTAGGAGATCAGAAGAGTATTAAAAGAGTACCAAAAAAAGGACCAACAGGGGGAAGAACAGGTGAAATCCACAAAACCAAACCGTTTTCTAGATAGCCTATTACTTGGATGTCCGAGCCGTAACTAGGTTCAAACCAGGGTTAGCGGGACAACAGCGCTTGGCAAAGATATTGGTTCAAACCTACTCGCCAAGTACATCGGCTGTCCAAGTAATTAGAGCAAGTGCAGCCCTGAAAAGGGAAACATGATCTACCATTTGGGTTGCAGGCACCCCCGATCAGACATGGTTGAACGGTGGAATGTGAAAAACGAGATCCTAGGGAAAACATGCCACTCTCATTTTCCTCCTTAAACATCACGAAGAGGAACCTCGCAGGGCAAACAAAAGTATGCAAAAGCCATCCTTGTGGGTCCAATGGTCAAATCCTCACAGCTGGTCTCCGAGTGGTTCACGGGGTAGCAGCGCCAAACTTTGGGAAGTGAAGATACTCAATTAGGGGTTACCCCCCTCCCAAAAACATATCACCGCACACGGGGTTCCTTTGAAAGGAAACTGATATTCCAGGTATCCTCCTACAGGTGCTAGGTTTGGAGGAAGAGATGGGACTACCATGCGAAAAACGAAAACCACATCGATCTCGGCATTCCACACCTGCGCGCCCAGGCCAGCATCGCAGAGCAGGCTGCACTGCCGGCCGCTAGGAAGCAGGCGAGCGTAGCTGCTGCCTCAACCCAAAGCCCGGCTTTTGGGCTGGGCTTCTAGGGAAGCCAGGTGAACCCCAAAGGCCCTCATTCTCTGCCTGAAGCCAAAATTGAGGTGCTCATCTTGCTGGTTCGATAGGCAGGGAATGAGGTGGAATAATCACTGGAAACAATCCCCGATTTGGTTTCCTTGCGAAACCCTGGGTTCATGCACAAAACCCCAAAAGTCATTCCCCACTGAGCATCGGCAAGTCACTTTCTTTTACACAAACACGCTTGCCTTCCGCCTCACAGCCTGACAATGTCCTCGCTGCAGTGTGACTGTTGGCAAACAACACCGTGTTCAAATAATGTGTTCCTTAGCGGGAAACCTCAGTGCTATTCAAATCCCAACTAAGCACTTGGCGACCATCCTCATTTGCCCCCCCGCGACCAGGGGTGCTTTGACTGTAACAAAGGATGTGCCTTTTCTTTGAGGTAACCCTGTTTGGGGTTGCTGTTGAAATCAAAGAGAAACCACTGGTTCGGGGGTTCCCCTAATTGAAGACGCACCTGCATGTTCTGAGATTCTGGTTACGTGTTCCTTTCTTTTTACTTGGGGGAAAAAAGGTAGCAGGGACTGGGAAACAGCGAGCAGCAAAAGTAGTTCGCGCAAAGCCCGGTTCTGGGGCACAGGATCATAGACCATGGGTCAAGATTGCAAGGCCAATTGAGTCTAGTGAGCACCCCTGTCATCAATCAAATTGAAGATAGCTTTTGGTATACTGAGTAGGTCGAACATTCACTTGAGATCGTGGTGAAAAGTCGGACAGGGATGCTGCAAATTTTACTATGACTCCAAACCTGAATTCGGGGATCTTCAAGTAAAGGACCTTTATCATGGAGAGCTCGCTATAAATGGCAGAGGGATGGCTGTAAGCTGGTAGGTAGTTGGAACATCCAAGTCCACAAGGTTGGAATTCGAAACATCAGGCCTTTATCGTCGCAAAACAGGGCCTATTGATTGCTCACCGGTGAACCCCACCCCAAAAAAGTGTCCTCCCCAAAAAAGTGGATGGACGAAATCCGGCACTTGAAAACCATGGTTGAAGCCATTCTTTGGAATTTACCGGGGAATCGAAACATAGGGTGTCTGAACGGTACAACATGGATTTCGCAACCATCCACTGTAACCTCCCACCATGGAACCTGACAGGAGGTCCCTCAAAAACGAAAAAAGATCTTCCAGGCAACCTCACAGGTGCTATATTACTTGCTGGTGCTCAGTAGGGAATGAGGAAATGAATCCAGGTGTTGGTCCCCTTAAAGGAAACCACCAGTAGGATGGTAGGGGGTCATTCCATTTCTCATTCCCTGCTGAGATGGCACCAGCAAGTAAAATTGGGAACCCAAAAGGGGACACCAAAAGCTTCAAAGGTCGATTCGCTTGGGCAACTGTCAGCTGCTTTACATGCTAATCAGCTGGTTCCTCAAAAAAAAAAAGGGCACCCCTCCAGGTGGTTTGCTCTGTTTGGTTTCCCTTTCCCCGGTTTCACTGGGAGGGCGGCCATGATCAGATCGAGGTCCTGGCAGCTGCCCATTTTCAGCTTGTAGGCTTCGGGGCCTGGCAACACTGAGCCAGCCGCTTCCCGCTTTCTTGAGGAGTACCCTTTTATATTTGGTCTGTTTTTTGGGGGAGTGCCTTTGTGGGGAGTACCTTTTCTTGGGGAGTACCCGTGTTCTGCCTTTCTTAATATGTTTGGTCTGTGTGTTCTTCCTTTTTTTTTGGGGGGGGGGAGGGGTTTAAGGTAAACCAACAGGAACACCACTATTTTGGAGGGGTCCGCTGAAAAAACTCGCCCAGATTTCCCCTATCGCATCAGCCGGTGAATCTCACCTGTGTGCCAAACAGGTGATGTTAGGGTTGTTTAGATTTCCCCCTAGCATCACCCCAGCACTTAACTGTGCCAAGCAATGTAGAAAGAACAACAAAGCGAAATATGTTGGGACACCTGACGGAACAACGCGCCTAAATCTAAAAGGACCATGAGTTTTGGAAACCTGCTATAGTGGCGAAAGGCGTGTGATCCACTGGGGTACTCACACAAGCGGAAGTGGCGGCTATGAAATTGTGGTCTGCCCCACGTATCCTTGGGGCAGTGCTGCTATTATCATTGCTGTTGTAATTATCGTGATTGATATTATCATAATCATGATTATTCTCATGACTACTAATAATAGTGTTGCTATTATGATTGTTGTGGTTCTTTTTGCTACTACTATTATTAGTATTATTACTATAATTATCATCATCAGTACTATTAGTAATTCCTATGACGCTATCAATCACCACCCTTGCAGCAGTGGGCCATACCTCTCTTCTGCAGCCCAAGAGGTAGTCATCAACTTGCAGCCCTTTAAAAATGAAAATAGTAAATGCGGACTGTACCCGATTTGTCAAGTGTTTGTTTCTTGACCTTACTTGGGTATTAATTCTGGCTTATCTGGGAGGCGAGTGGTTAGCTTTGCTGCCAGTTGAGACCCAGAAAAGCCCTCTACAACTCATTGTAGCTAGGTCACAAACCATACCCGGACATTTAATGATCGCAGAGGTTGCATGTCTCCTCCCCGCATCAAACCATCGGACAACATTCCTGCCCGACCGTGTTTACTTCCGCTAACAACATCATGCAAACAAAATGCAGCTTCAAGGGGCCCAAACCGCTCAAAGCCACCCGCAATTTGCTCCATTTAACACCCATTTGTTTGGATTTAGGTGGTTTTCAAAGCCTTTGGGCTTGGTGTTGAGCAACCAATCGGACGTCATCACTAGGCGTTCTACAGCCCTCGGAACCTCCCCAAAGGCCCCAAAGTGTCCAGTACTCAATTGCCCCTAGCCTGCATACAAAAGATCATTTCACGTCGATTGCCTTGGGCTAGTCAAAGCAATGCAGTCCTCTCATCGGACGAACCAACGAAAGACCCCCAGAGCCACCATGGCTACATGTGGGACAACAGGGGTGGCTTGGTTGATAGCCATGGCTATCATCTAGCTACAAAGCAGGCTGAACATCCAAAACGAGCACCAGAGGCATGCCAATCCGTAGGCCACACACATGCGTCCTAGATCCAGTGCCTCAACGAGTCGGCGGTTCCCGGCATTCCAAAGACCTGAGGGAATGTCCACTAAACAAAGTCCCAGAAAATAAATGTTACATACATATATATTAATATAATTTCCAGAGTGATAGATTTCCTTTGCAAACAACAGGGGAACATGAAAACCAATTCTTAAGCAATTGGAATATAAGGTCATCTATAAAATGAAGGAACAATCCGCTGAGCAAATGACACAAGGAATCCCAGCAAGCCTTCATGAGTGAGATCTGGTATTTTCAGTAGGTGAGGTACGAGGAGTGTCAATAAAACTTGGTGTGAACCGAACCCTGGCTGTACCCCCTGGTTTATACCCTTTGAAGTTCCCTTGTACTTTGCAAATCCCTCTTGTCTCACCTGGGGGACGGGGTTCATGCTGTTTTTTTTTGTGTGTGGTTGAAAAATGGGTATCATCCCTGTGCCCCCATTGTCACCAAGTGAACAGTAGTCTACCAATCACTTCGACTTCGTCAGTTTCTCAGTGTGTGTTTGAACTTGAAGAAAAGTTGTTCCAAACCCACCACTCAATCGCAATTGAGCCACGCTCCAAATGACTTGCTTCCCCACAAAAAGCACATTTAGTTTTTGTTTGGCCGTTGTCAAATCATGTGAGTCCCCCCATGTCCTCACAACAAGGTTTCCCCAAGTAATACTATATATACTGGGCTGTCCTCAGATCCCCCGCTGAAAGGTTAACCTTTAGTGGGTTAAATAGAAACCCCCTCAATAAACACTAACAAAAATAAATAAATAACCGGATGGCTGGGAGGCACCAAGCACAAGTCGTCTCCATTCACCCAAGCCTGTGAGGTTCTCCAGCAACGCGCTCACATTGCAGGGCTCCGCATGGCGGCAGTACTCGAGGCCTCGCAAGCTCCCAGGCCCCAGAAGCCCGCTGGAATCGCCGTTGGGGCGCCCGGTTTATGAAGCTCATCTTCCATCATGTTCGCCCCCTGGAAGAAACAAACATAATATGTCCAGCAGCGACGGATTCCAACTTTAAAACCAACAAGGGAAAATACATGTTATTAAGCAAATGGAAGTCATCTTGAAAGGCGCTTCTTTTGGCGTAGTTGACTTTGTTTGCTGTACTGTAAATGGGGTTCCCGCTTCAAGAAAACGATGCAGAAAGGAAGCAACGCGCTGAAGGTCTGAATTTGGGCTTTACCTCTCCAGCCCGAACATCGCGACCTTTCAGTCGTGTGTTAAACGAAGCACACTTCCAAGTTCCGGCTCGAAAAAATAAACACTGCCATTGTCCAAAACCAACCAACCATGCTGAAAACTATACCAAGTCAAATGGCGAGCCGTTTCCCCGGCCCAAAGATGTGACTGTGCTTATTCCAACCGCTCACCAGGCTGTCGGGCTCAGATCATTGTCCTCCGGCACCCGCACGAAGCCGTCGAAGCATTCGCAGTCCTCAACGTAGCGAGTACGAAGTTGCCCCCAAAGGACCCAGAGATAAAAGGTGAACCTTTTGGGGCCATGACTCAAAGAGCACCAAACACGGGAAACTCAAAGGTTAAAGGCTCGACTAGCTTTCGGCAAACCAATCAGCTAGCAGTCCCAAGCAACAAGTGAGTACACTTAGCGCGTAATTGGAGGCGTTTTTCGGGGTTACAATTGGGGGTCCACAAGCTGAATGCCCGTGGCTCTGAATCCTGATTTCTCCTACAGCTCCCTTCCTTCAGCCAGGCTGTTGGCGCCCAACAAGAGCCCCAGGCTCAAGCGTGGTAGCAAAGTTTTGCCCCCACCCGTAACTCTGAGAAACACTTTGCACACCAAATTGTGTCAGGTGGAGTGACCTGATATTTCTTCTGTTCACAGACATTTTTTGCCTCATTTGTGGCGTCTATGTAACAACACCAGACTACAGGCTGAACTGCTCTTGCACCCGGCTGCTGTCTCCGCCAACTTCTGGATCACCCCAGGTCACAACAGCCCCAGATTCAAGAATGGCAGCAAACGCCTTGTAAGTTGCTTGGATGTGCTGAACGTTCCTCAACTGCTCTTGCACTTGGCTGCGGTCTCCCCCAAATGCTGCATGGCCCCAGGTCACAACAGCCCCAGATTCAAGAATGGCAGCGAAAGCACCGTCAGTTGCTTGGATTTGCTGGACGTTCCTCAGCTGCTCTTGCACCTGGCTGCTGTCACCGCCAGTTCTTGGATCACCCCAGGTTACAACAGCCCCAGATTCAAGAATGGCAGCAAACGCCCTGTAAGTTGCTTGGATGCGCTGGACATTCCTCAGCCGCTCTTGCACCTGGCTGCTGTCTGCCCCATATTCTGTACGGCCCCAGGTCACAACAGCCCCAGACTCAAGAATAGCAGCAAAAGCACGACGAGTTGCTTGGATGTGCTGGACGTTCCTCAGCTGCTCTTGCACCTGGCTGCTGTCTCCGCCATAGCCTGGATCACCCCAGGTCACAACAGCCCCACAGTCAAGAATAGCAGCAAAAGCCCTGTCACTTGCTTGGATGTGCTGGACGTTCCTCAGCTGCTCTTGCACCTGGCTGCTGTTTCCGCCATATTCTGGACGACCCCAGGTCACAACAGACCCACAGTCAAGAATAGCAGCAAAAGCACCACCGGCAGTTGCTTGGACGTGCTGGACGTTCCTCAGTTGCTCTTGCAGTTTGCTGCTGCCTCCGCCAAAGCCTGGATCACCCCAGGTCACAACAGCCCCACAGTCAAGAATAGCAGCAAAAGCACGATGAGTTGCTTGGATGTGCTGGATGTTCCTCAGCTGCTCTTGCACCTGGCTGCTGTCTCCGCCATAGCCTGGATCACCCCAGGTCACAACAGCCCCACAGTCAAGAATAGCAGCAAAAGCACAACGAGTTGCTTGGATGTGCTGGACGTTCCTCAGCTGCTCTTGCACCTGGCTGCTGTCTCCGCCATATCCTGGTTCACCCCAGGTTACAACATCCCCAGATTCAACGATGGCTGCAAAAGCACGCGCCGTTGCTTGGATGCGGTGGACGTTTTTCAGCTGCTCTTGCACCTGGCTGCTGCCTCCGCCATGTTCTGGATCACCCCAGGTCACAACCTCGCCCCCGTGAGCATGCCACGCAACTGCCCTACAGCTGGCAGCCAGCTTGCCAAGCTGTACAACCGCAGCCACCATGTCCCCAGCTCGCAACCCGGATTCGCTCAGCGTGGCCGTCAACTCGAGCTGCCGGCATTTTGCAAAGAGCGTCAAGCGGCGCTGGAAATGCTGCTGCGCTGCAGCCTTCAGCTCGCTGACGCGCGTCTCCGGTGAGATTTCTACGGAGCACACATCTCCACTGGGTAAATGCACATCCACCTTCATGGCGCAGGAGCGTTGGATGCATTCAAGCTTCCAAGCAGAGCGTCTATGAAGTTGAGCGTCGCCGCGGCCGATGGTGCGTCAGCAACATAAGCTGGTTTGAAGGGAAGCCCTGACAGTTGGGTAAAAGTAGATGGCATAGTTCCCTTAATATCCTTTATGTGGCTACGTACAGGGGATGATTGACCACGAGTGGGAATTTGGATTTCCGCCACCTACTTTCACCTAAGGGAGCAAGGGTCCTCCAAATGCACCGCACAAATGTGGGTTTTAGGCTTACACAAATACCACTAAGTTTCAGCAAACCCATGCGAAAACAGGGATCCTTACATTATACACCGGAACATGGCTTTGCAAATGGTGGTGTCCCTTTATTTTGGTGGAAAAAGCAACATGTTTTCAAATGGTTGCAAAATGTTGCAAAATGGAGATCTTTTAAGGAGCCCTGGTTTGAAAAGAAGGGGTTTTGGACTTTTGGAGACCCCTACTCATTTTTCCCGCCAGCCACGGTTCGGGGTGTTCCCCCCCATCGCCCATCACTCGTGCCTGGTGTCCGAAGCGCTGCACGCCCACCACCGCCGAGTTGTTGGGACAGGGCTTGCAGGACCTCACCGCGGTTACCGCGCAACGCGGTTCAACGGGGGAAGCGTTTCAATGGGAAAAAGGGGGAAGACACGGGAGTGGGTCAAGAAACGGGTATTCAACATGGGTTGCCCTGGTGGAAACCTGGACGATTTACACGGGAGTGGGTCAAAAAACCGGTATTCAACATGGGTTGCCCTGGTAGAAACATGGACGATGTAACCTGCGGTCCGATTCCTGGTGCTTTAATTTTGACCCATACCCACACCCCTTGAGGCAAAGGCACCTGGTTGCAGGGTGCTGGGGAAGAATCGTTTTCCCCAAAGAATTCGAGGTGAAGTTCGGGTGGAACCAAATGAAAAACATCACTCAAGGCGCAAGTTTGCTGGGGAAACAATCATTCGACAGTGAGAGCTTCGTGGAACCAACAAGCGAGCATAGCTGGTAAAGCACACTGGCACCCCCAAACCTTATCTGGGCTGAGACCCCTTAGCTTTCAGTTGGGGGAAAAAAAACAGGGTTATTGACATGGATCCCATAGGCCCCACCCAAAAAAAGGCACACATAAATAAATCAAATATAAATCAAGTGAGGTATTTAAAAAAAGGGGCCCGTGAAACTGGCTTGTGGCGTAAAGTGCATTTTGAGGGCCTTTGCTGGATTGGATTTCAGGCAAGACAAAGCAAACTGCATTTTGTTGGCCCCGTCCTTTCCAGCGCCCTCGGATAAAAAAAATAAACATCGATATACTCCAAACCACCAGGGCCCCCAAAGATGCCTCGTCAGCAAGCCTTGGTGGTTTGGATTGGCAAGATGGGAGGGAACCTTCCCATGAAATTTCATCAAGGGTTCAAATCCCAAAGATACAAATCCCGAACACCGATAGGCTTTGGCGCGCCGAAGCTGATTTTGGATGAGACCCCGGCGAACACGATCCAAGGAGGCGCGCCTTCACACCACGGCACTGATGTGATCCTCTTGACTATGGCTGGCAGTGAATCATCCTGTTGCTCACCATGTGTGTGTGTGTGTGTGTGTCGCTGCACCGTGCTCGTGGCTTCACCCCGAACATTCACTCGCAACACATTGGAAAGCAAATCCAACTGTGGCGCACCTGCTGTGCCCCTTCTTTCAGCACGCAAGACTGGCGCCCGATGTCGTTCATGTTACAAACGCCCACTTTCAAGCGCAACTGCTCTTCCACCTGGCTGCCGTCTCGGCCATGCTTTGGATGACCCAGGTCAAAAACAGCCCCACATTCAAGAATGGCAGCAAAAGCCTGCTATCTCCACCCGAACCTGAACAACCCCAGGTCACAACAGCCCCAGACTCAAGAATGGCAGCAAAAGCACTATCACTTGCTTGGATGTGCTGGACGTTCCTCAGCTGCTCTTGCACCTGGCTGCTGTCTCCGCCACACTCCGGATTTCCCCAGATCACAACAGCCCCAGACTCAAGAATGGCAGCAAAAGCACTGTCACTTGCTTGGATGTGCTGGACGTTCCTCAGCTGCTCTTGCACCTGGCTGCTGTCTCCGCCATATTCTGGACGACCCCATGTCACAACAGACCCAGATTCCAAAATGGCAGCGAAAGCACCGTCAGTTGCTTGGATTTGCTGGACGTTCCTCAGCTGCTCTTGCACCTGGCTGCTGTCACCACCAGTTCTTGGATCACCCCAGGTTACAACAGCTCCAGATTCAAGAATGGCAGCAAAAGAACCAGCGGCAGTTGCTTGGATGCATCTGACGTTCTTCAGCTGCTCTTGCACCTGGCTGCTGTCTCCCCCGAAATCGGGACTACCCCAGGTCACAACAGCCCCAGTTGCAAGAAGGGCAGCAAAAGCACAGGCAGTTGATTGGATGTGCTGAACGTTCCTGAGCTGCTCTTGCACCTGGCGGCTGTCTCCGGCCCAGTCTGCATGACCCCAGGTCACGACAGCCCCAGACTCAAGAATGGCAGCAAAAGCACCTCTGGTTGCTTGGATGTGCTGGACGTTGCTCACCTGCTATTGCACCTGGCTGCTGTCTCCGCCCCTTTCTGGATGGCCCCCTTGGCGCCGTGGCCATACCAAGCAAAGGAGTGATGAGTGGCAGCCAATTTGCCCAGCTGCACAACCGCAGTCACCACGTCCCCATCTCGCAACCCGGCCGTGCTGAGCGTGGCCGTCAAATCGAGCTGCCGACCCTTCGCAGTGAGTCTTGAGCGGCGCTGGAACTGCTGCGCTGCAGCCGTCCGCTCGCTGATTGGCATCGCCGGAAAGCCTTCTAAGGAGCAGCCAAGTCCACTCGGCAAGTGAACATTCACCTTCATCACGCAGGAGGGTTTTTTAGGCCGCATGCAGAATTCGAGTTGCCAAACACAAACTGAAGACAAACAACTTCGAGGAGACCCCTTCTTAAAGGGCTGTTGACAAAATACGCGCCGAAATTACCCCAAACCCCCGGCAAGATCCACAGGTGCTAGCTTTCGCCCACATGTGTTTACCTTAGGATTGCTCCTCGCTACCCTCGGCTGAGGTTGTGGTCTTGGCAGCGATGTGTTTGGGGCTAATTGATTCAAACTCCGTGGGTCCTTTTCACCAACACTGATTCCCAAGACAACCTATTCTGAAAGACCAAACTTGGTCAGAACCGAGGGCAACAATCATATTGCACAATGTCGAATTCCGGGGAAAGAAACCAAGACTTTGAGCGTCTCGGGAAGTTCTCCAAATTCATCGTTTTGGCATGGTTTCCTTGAAACCCAGCAACAAGCCCCAAACGCTCATGTCATGTGTGTCGGATCTCCAAATAAAAGATCACTAAGGAAATAGCAGAGTCATCTGCCAGATCATGGGCACCCCGAACTTTCTTGTATGCAGTTGGGCGATGGCGTGCGATACTGCTGTGGTCACAGCCATTTCCAACCACGTATGCTGTACCTGCAAAGAAGTGCCATGTTCAATCTTAATTCGACTGATTGCCTGATTATACCGTGATTGCCAAAGGTGCATTTGAAGAAACGCCTCTTAAACAGCGACCATCTCCGATTGCAAACAGGTTCTAACAGATTTACCCGAAGGGGAATGGCAAATGTAAGGAAAACCGTTGAGCCATTTTAGGGGTTCCCCCCCAAAAAAAAGAAGAAGCCATACCCATGTGTGAATTTGAGTCTTTGTCTGAGGCTTCCGAGCTCTCGGCCACGGTTGTTTCTGTGTATACGTGTTGTACGCTTTGTTGTTTGGATGGGCAAACGATTATTTACACTCCCGCAAATCCGTATGGAACCTTAAAATCACCATTCGAGGAATCTCATGGGGAAAGGCACCCTTGGGTTCCCGAGGTTTTCGGCCACGATGGTTTCGGACCTTAGACGACGTCCCAAATGTCAACCCCATAGCCTTGGACAAAAATACCAAGGTGTCCCCAAAAGGACATGGACAACTTGCTTTGTTTTTCTTTTTGTTAGAGTTCGGGGCCAGTCCCCCCGAAGGATCCAAGCGTGTGCAAGTGTCCGAGGTGCAAAAGCTCATCGAAGACGTTGCGCTGCTCGTAAAACGTGGCCTGAGCATTTGCTCAAGAGCTTCAAAATAAATTAATTTGGAGGGCCCTTTAACCAAGCCAACCCTCAAGGGAAGCGAAAGGAACATCAAGGGATCTAGCTGGATGGTATTCTGATTCGTGCTAAATGGCCCGCTGAACTCGAAGCCTTTCTTCGCTTCCATGGTACGGTACTGGAAGCATGAGAGCTGCGTTTCGCATGGCACGCATCCGCATTTTGCATATGCATGGCGGGAAAAAAATCAAAAGAAACAGACATGCGGAAAAGCAACGAATCGAGAGAACTGCGGAATAGAAATCAGCAGACAGCGTGGCCAGATTCTGCTTCGACCAGTGCACAAAACATCTTAGTTGCGATGCGGTCTCAGAGCGGTCTCGGAGAAGGGACCATTGACACACTCGCGCAAACTACTTCGCAACTATCAATTTGTGAACCCTCTGAGCTTTTGCGAATTTTGCTTCACTCATGCAACCCTCTGCACTGTTCGGTGGGTTGACAGACCAGTCAAAAGCGTTTGATTCTTAATGAGAGAAAAAGAGATAAAAGGAGAAAACAGAAAGAACAAGAAAAGACAGATAAAGAGAAAGACAAGGAGAAAGATAAAGAAAAAGCGAAGACAGAGAAAGAACAGATAGAGAAAGCGAAGACAAATAAAGATAAAGACAAAGAGAGAGACAGAGAGAGAGAGAGAGAGATTGAGAAGACAGAGAACGCGACGGAAGAGAAAGCAAAGGCAGACAAGAGAAAAATAAAGGAACAAAAAGACAGAGAAAGCGAACACAGAGAAAGATAAAGATAAAGACCAAGATAAATAACAGCGTAAAAAGCGAAGAGAGAAAGCTAAGACAGAGAATGCGAAAGACAAAGATAAAGACAAAAAGTATAACAAAGACACATACAATAGAAATAAATCACATACATAGAAATACATGACAGCCTTATCCCGGGTGAAAAAGTACAAACATACTCTTGCCCCCGATAGGGAAGATGGGGAGGTGCTTTGGGCCCCTCGGAAACCAAAAAGCGGGCGTGGGTCACCTTCAAATAGGTTCAACCCGCGCATGGGCCGCGCCTTTTTCAGGGAACCCGTTTTGGCGAAATGGGGGAAACCACCAGTTTTGTCGTCCCCATATTTTTGCATATCTCATTTGTTGAAAACCACTTGTGGTTTCCAAGACAAAAAAACAAGCGGGGCTAGAACTTTCGACCAAACCTTGCCCCCCACAAAATCCTCCGCTCTGTTGGAAGCAAAAAAAGAAGAAACAAACAAACCACACACGCACTCACCAACAAAAAAAAACAGGAAAACAAATAACAACATAAAACGGGAAAACAGGGAAAACAACCGAGGAAAAAACAACCAAAAAGAGAAACACGAAACCCAAAGCTGGCCGTTTGCGGAAGCAAGCTGAAGCCCCCGGCCGGGCAAGTGCACTGCTGCAGAGAGCTCCTCGTCGCAGGTCTTCTTTTTCTTCCGGTTTGTAAGAGGGCAAACCAAAAAGGGGGGAAAAGACCAGCACGGGGAACTAGTCGCATGGTGTTTTTTTGGTTTTTTTCCCCTCTCCGGTTTGATGCAAAAAACAAAAAAACGGAGCAAAAACCAGCAAGGGAAACCAGGACTGGCCAAAGAAGCAACCAAACGGTTGGTTTGCCTCTCAAATGTTTGGTAGCGCTCGCGTTCTAGAGTTTGTTCCTCTTGGCTTGGAGGTGTGGAGCCCAAGTTTCACAAAGATTGCTCGGCAAAAAGGGGCCTCTAAATTGATGTTCCGCATACTAAGGGTGTCACCGTGTCGTTGATGTATGGACCAATCAGCCTGTTGCCAACCACTTAAAGCCATGATCACCTGCTTCCCGTAGCTGAGCATAGTACAAACCACCGCGTCAACGGTTCTTTGGCGTTTGGAAGCTCGTTCAGCCCTGCCCCGTTTTGGGAAGGTGTTCTAAACCTACTGAAAAGTATTCGGCTTAAAATTGTAGCAGGGCCTGCCCTAACCCCCTCCCCCCCCCTCCCTCTGTTTTCCTCAATCGGAGTCTCAGTTTGGATCGGGAGGGCCCAAACCCAAAACCCTCGGTGGCCCTTGCCTTTGAAGGGCACGACCGAACGAGCAATACCCTAGTTTTAGTGAAGTGCTGTGATCCTGGGTCTTGAGTGTTGCTGTGTTGCTGAAAATTGCGGTCCTCTACGGTTGGTTTCTATTTGGACACCCCAACCAAAAACCCTCAAACAAAAGACACACCCATATCCTGGACTGACTTGAGTATCGACTAAGAGAGAGCCACAGATTTGGGGGTGGGTCAAATTAAACCACCAGGGGACCGCAGGTTTTAGTCCATGTTTCCATTTGCCATGGTTCCATTTTGGGTACCTATTTTGACCCACAGCCCGTTTATCACATCCCTTATGAACAAGCGCCCACGCCCAGCTTCGGACCCGGATATGGGTACCGTTTTTTGCACTGCCTCACCGTGTTTTCTATTCAACCACAAACTCCTTGCGTGGCTGTAGCACGCCGGCTAAAATCCGACCTTCGACTGCAAACTCTCAAATCAAGCTCCCAAAAAATGATAAGAATCGATTTGCAACGACAAATCTAGCGGGTACCTCAAACACATGCATTGCCGTGGTTTTTGTTGGGTTTGATGGGGTGCACCCCCTCTTTGAACATCATCTCTATTGGCCGAGTTTCTTTCGGTGGTTCCAATTAGTAGGAAGAAGAACAAATCCGAATAATCAGTCAACTGATCCAGTGGTTCCACATGTTTGGGGGGCTGATTTCCTCCAAATTGGCAGAGACTGACCCCCGTTCCCCTCTGAAAGCGCGCAGTTTATTTTTTCCTTCCATGTCCATTCTCTTCAGGGATCCTTCTCAAACAATGTTTGCCAACCCTGGGAAATGGGGTGGCAAACCCAAAGAGAAGGATGGGTGGAGAACATGGGGAATCAACCTAAAGAGAACATGGAATGCTCTCTCACAGACTTCTCTCTTGCCCAAAGGGCCTGAACGGAACAAGGTTAACCTTGTGTGACCTTGACTAAAGACGGACCGGCACAGGAAAACCACAAGGTCTAAAGGTCAAAAGGTTGGCTGTGGGCAA